AGTCTTCCCCATTGTCTCTCTCTAGAGTCTTCCTCATTTTCTCCCTCTAGAGTCTTCCCCATTGTCTCTCTCTAGAGTCTTCCTCATTTTCTCCCCCTAGAGTCTTCCCCATTTGTCTCTCCCTAGAGTCTTCCCCATTGTCTCTCTCTAGAGTCTTCCCCATTGTCTCCCCCTAGTCTTCCCCATTGTCTCTCTCTAGTCTTCCTCATTGTCTCCCCCTAGAGTCTTCCTCATTGTCTCCCCCTAGAGTCTTCCCCATTGTCTCTCTCTAGAGTCTTCCTCATTGTCTCCCACTAGAGTCTTCCCCATTTTCTCCCCCTAGAGTCTTCCTCATTGTCTCTCCCTAGAGTCTTCCTCATTGTCTCTCTCTAGAGTCTTCCTGGTCTAAAGGACCCCCCCAGTTCTAAACTCCAAGAATTTGCCCAGTTACCCTAAAGAGGAAACTAGGTTCAGCCATTAGCACCTCTTTGTTCTGCTTGTGCTCCAAGCAGAACCTGTTCATTAGCTCTGACAGAACATCAGAGCAGGACCTTCATTACTTCTCCTCTATGCTATCGTCACCTTGCAAATTCAGAGGAGGAAACCTTCCTTAAACCATTTAACATTTGGCTTCCTGCTCCCTGAAGGTAATGGGTTGAAGAGCAGAACCACATTTTCTACATAAAGCGAAAATAAAAGCTGAAGTTCTCAGGTTCTCTCATTTCTTAGACTGGAATTTGAGATTCTGTCCATAAACACTAAGAACAGGGTTGGGTATAATTACGTCTCTTTTTTGGCGTGGACCCTGTAAAGCTCCATTACCTTTGAAGACGTTTGATAGAAATCAACCTAACAACACGGTCTGCAGTTCGCCATGTGTGAGACGGACAGGATCCAAACTGTGCTGCACACCTTATTAAAAATCTCCACATCAAACCTGCAGAATCCCAGCGTCTAAATATAAACAGGACCTGACAGCGGAGGCCTGTTAATGAGCTTCATCACCATGAGGGAGCGCCGGCTGGGGATGGAGGGACGTGGGACAGATGGACAGAGGGAGCTGAGAACTGAAGGGGGGGTGATGTGAGGAGGAAGGAGCGTCTGATCTTCATTCTCTGTCTAGCAGACAGTGCAGCAGTGACAGGCTTAGAAAGGCCAGCTTCATAAAGCTGTCAACAAGGAAAAACACCTGAAACTGCAAAGGATGAGAGACTAAGAGGACGGCACTGACACCCACAGGTCAGCACTTTGCTGACGATTGGAGGTGACTTTTAAACCGGCTTTACTGCCACACTTCCTGTCTGTCCTGATACGACTCTGCGTCATTCTTTCTGTGACCGATTTAGGACCTTTTATTATTTTGCTGTTTTGGGGATAATATTTGTGACAGAAAAAACTGAAAAGTGTTATAGGCAGCCTTCCACCAACTGCCTATAACAGTCAACTAATCAGTATCTCAGTAGATCCCTTTGGGACAGTTTAGCATACAGTTCAAAACAAAAACATCACTATTCACTCCACCATCTGAAAAGTGAGGAATTTCACAGCTACAAACCTCATAAACACGAAGTCTACCACCTGAACTGACAGGCTGGGTGTTCAGGGTTGGAACGTTTTATGACAACCGTCCGAACCGCTCGGTCCGACTGTCTC